TTATTCTTCCAATCCATGAGCAGGGAATGTCTTTCCATTTCTTTAAATCTTCTTCAATTACCTTCATAAGCTTTCTATAGTTTTCAGCATACAGATCCTTTACATCTTTGGTTAGATTTATTCCTAGGTATTTTATGCTTCTTGGTGCAATTGTGAATGGGATCAGTTTCTTTATTTGTCTTTCTGGTGCTTCATTGTTAGTGTATAAGAATGCAACTGATTTCTGTACATTGATTTTGTATCCTGCAACTTTGCTGAATTCATGTATCAGTTCTAGCAGACTTTTGGTGGAGTCTGTCGGATTTTCCATGTGTAATATCATGTCATCTGCAAAAAGCGAAAGCTTGACTTCATCTTTGCCAATTTTGATGCCTCTGATTTCCTTTTGTTGTCTGATTGCTGATGCTAGCACTTCCAGCACTATGTTAAACAACAGCAGTGAGAGTGGGCATCCCTGTCGTGTTCCTGATCTCAGGGAAAAAGCTCTCAGTTTTTCCCCGTTGAGGATGATGTTAGCTATGGGCTTTTCATAAATGGCTTTTATGATCTTTAAGTATGTTCCTTCTATCCCGACTTTCTCAAGGGTTTGTATGAAGAAAGGGTGCTGGATTTTGTCAAAGGCCTTTTCTGCATCGATTGACAGGATCATGTGGTTTTTCTCTTTTTTTTTGTTAATGTGATGTATCACGTTGATTGATTTGCGAATGTTGAACCAGCCCTGCATCCCAGGAATGAATCCCACTTGATCATGGTGAATAATTCTTTTTATATGCCATTGAATTCGATTTGCTAGTATCTTATTGAGAATTTTTGCATCCATATTCATCAGGGATATTGACCTGTAGTTCTCTTTTTTTACTGGGTCTCTGTCTGGTTTAGGAATCAAAGTAATACTGGCTTCATAGAATGAGTCTGGAAGTTTTCCTTCCCTTTCTATTTCTTGGAATAGCTTGAGAAGGATAGGTATTATCCCTGCTTTAAACGTCTGGTAGAACTCCCCTGGGAAGCCATCTGGTCCTGGACTCTTATTTGTTGGGAGATTTTTGATAACCGATTCAATTTCTTCGCTGGTGATGGGTCTGTTCAAGCTTTCTATTTCCTCCTGATTGAGTTTTGGAAGAGTGTGGGTGTTCAGGAATTTGTCCATTTCTTCCAGGTTGTCCAATTTGTTGGCATATAATTTTTCATAGTATTCCATGATGATTGTATCTCTGAGGGATTGGTTGTAATAATTCCATTTTCATTCATTATTTTATCTATTTGGGTCATCTCCCTTTTCTTTTTGAGAAGCCTGGCTAGAGGGTTGTCAATTTTGTTTATTTTTTCAAAAAACCAACTCTAGGTTTCGTTTATCTGCTCTACAGTTTTTTTAGATTCTATATTGTTTATTTCTGCTCTGATCTTTATTATTTCTCTTCTTCTGCTGGGTTTAGGCTGCCTTTGCTGTTCTGCTTCTATTTCCTTTAGGTGTGCTGTTAGATTTTGTATTTGGGATTTTTCTTGTTTCTTGAGATAGGCCTGGATTCCAATGTATTTTCCTCTCAGGACTGCCTTTGCTGCGTCCCAAAGCGTTTGGATTGTTGTATTTTCATTTTCATTTGTTTCCATATATTTTTTAATTTCTTCTCTAATTGCCTGGTTGACCCACTCATTCGTTAGTAGGGTATTCTTTAACCTCCATGCTTTTGGAGTTTTTCCAGACTTTTCTCTGTGGTTGATTTCAATCTTCATAGCATTGTGGTCTGAAAGTATGCATGGTATGATTTCAATTCTTGTAAACTTATGAAGGGGTGTTTTGTGACCCAGTATATGATCTATGTTGGAGTATGTTCCATGTGCACTCGAGAAGAAAGTATATTCTGTTCCTTTGGGATGCAGAGTTCTAAATATATCTGTCAAGTCCATCTGATCCAATGTCTCATTCAGGGCCCTTGTTTCTTTATTGACCGTGTGTCTAGATGATCTATCCATTTCTGTAAGTGGGGTGTTAAAGTCCCCTGCAATTACCACATTCTTCTCAATAAGGTTGCTTATGTTTATGAGTAATTGTTTTATATATTTGGGCGCTCCGGTATTCGGCGCATAGACATTTATAATTGTTAGCTCTTCCTGATGGATAGACCCTGTCACTATTATATAATGTCCTTCTTCATCTCTTGTTACAGCCTCTAATTTAAAGTCTAGTTTGTCTGATATAAGTATGGCTACTCCAGCTTTCTTTTGGCTTCTAGTAGCATGATAAATAGTTCTCCATCCCCTCACTCTCAATCCAAAGGTGTCCTCAGGTCTAAAATGAGTCTCTTGTAGACAGCAAATAGATGGGTCTTGTTTTTTTATCCATTCTGATACCCTATGTCTTTTGGTTGGCGCATTTAATCCATTTACATTCAGTGTTATTATAGAAAGATATGAGTTTAGAGTCATTGTGATATCTGTATGTTTTATGCTTGTAGTGATGTCTCTGGTACTTTGTCTCACAGGGTCCCCCTTAGGATCTCTTGTAGGGCTGGTTTAGTGGTGACAAATTCCTTCAGTTTTTGTTTGTTTGGGAAGACGTTTATCTCTCCTTCTATTCTAAATGACAGACTTGCTGGATAAAGGATTCTCGGCTGCATATTTTTTCTGTCTAGCACACTGAAAATCTCGTGCCAATTCTTTCTGGCCTGCCAAGTTTCAAAAGAGAGATCAGTCACGAGTCTTATAGGTCTCCCTTTATATGTGAGGGCATGTTTACCCCTTGCTGCTTTCAGAATTTTCTCTTTATCCTTGTATTTTGCCAGTTTCACTATGATATGTCGTGCAGAAGATCGATTCAAGTTCCGTCTGAAGGGAGTTCTCTGTGCCTCTTGGATTTCAATGCCTTTTTCCTTCCCCACTTCAGGGAAGTTCTCAGCTATAATTTCTTCAAGTACCCCTTCAGCACCTTTCCCTCTCTCTTCCTCCTCTGGGATACCAATTATGCGTATATTATTTCTTTTTAGTGTATCCCTTAGTTCTCTAATTTTCCCCTCATACTCCTGGATTTTTTTTATCTCTCTTTTTCTCAGCTTCCTCTTTTTCCATAACTTTATCTTCTAGTTCACCTATTCTCTCCTCTGTCTCTTCAATCCGAGCTGTGGTGGTTTCCATTTTGTTATGCATTTCATTTAAAGCGTTTTTCAGCTCCTCGTGACTGTTCCTTAGTCCCTTGATCTCTGTAGCAAGAGATTCTCTGCTGTCAGCTATACTGTTTTCAAGCCCAGCGATTAATTTTATGACTATTATTCTAAATTCACTTTCTGTTATATTATTTAAATCCTTTTTGATCAGCTCATTAGCTGTTGTTATTTCCTGGAGATTCTTCTGAGGGGAATTCTTCCACTTGGTCATTTTGGATAGTCCCTGGCGTGGTGAGGACCTGCAGGGCACTTCCCCTGTGCTGTGGTGTATAACTGGAGTTGGTGGGCGGAGCCGCAGTCAGACCTGATGTCTGCCCCCAGCCCACCGCTGTGTCCACAGTCAGACTGGTGTGTGCCTTTTCTTCCCCTCTCCTAGGGGCGGGATTCACTGTGGGGTGGGGTGGCCTGTCTGGGCTACTTGCACACTGCCAGGCTTGTGATGCTGGGGATCTGGCGTCTTAGCTGGGGTGGGTAGGCAAGGTGCACAGGGGCAGGAGGGGCAGGCTTAGCTTGCTTCTCCTTAGGTGATCCACTTCAGGAGGGGCCCTGTGGCAGCAGGAGGGAGACAGATCCGCTGCGGAGGTTTGGCTCCGCAGAAGCGCAGAGTTGGGTGTTTGCGCGGAGCGAGCAAGTTCCCTGGCAGGAACTGGTTCTCTTTGGGATTTTGGCTGGGGGATGGGCGGGGGAGATGGCGCTGGCGAGCGCCTTTGTTCCCCACCAAACTGAGCTCTGTCGTCCGGGGGCTCAGCAGCTCTCCTTCCCTTTGTCCTCCAGCTTTCCCGCTTTCTGAGCAGAGCTGTTAACTTATGACCTCCCGGCGGCTAAGTCGCGCTTGCTGTCAGAACACAGTCCGCCAGGCCCCTCCGCTTTTTGCAAGCCAGATTCGGGGGCTCTGCTTGGCCGGCGAGCCGCCCCTCCGCCCCGGCTGCCTCCTGCCAGTCCGTGGAGCGCGCACCGCCTCGCTGCCCTTCCTACCCTCTTCCGTGGGCCTCTCGTCTGAGCTTGGCTCCGGCGACTCCGTTCTGCTAATCCTCTGGCGGTTTTCTGGGTTATTTAGGCAGGTGTAGGTGGAATCTAAGTGATCAGCAGGACACGTGGTGAGCCCAGCGTCCTCCTATGCCGCCATCTTCCCTCTCCCTCTCCACTAACTGGAATTTAAATAAAAGCTAAAAGAAAAAAGAAAACAGTGCTTCCCAATTTTAATATGCAGACGAACACTTGAGGATCTTATTAAAATGCAGAAACTGAAGTGAGGCATTAGTCTGTATTTCTAACAAGCTCCCCAAATGCTGATGCTGGTAGTCCTTCCAGACACACTTACTACCCAGGGTCTAAACTAACTTGATAACTGAGTAATACAGAATAGAGAATCTGGTTTTAAGTATCTGTAACTATTGAGCTTCTAGATAGAAGTCAGTAACAGACTTTGCATTACTGGCTGCTAATAAGTACATCTAAATCGTACTGGATTTATTGCTTCTTAGAGATTTAATATATTCATTATTTGTAGGATTCTGTTTAGAAGCAATTTGAGTCATAAACTTTTATTTATTAATATGTTTTATACATTACATACATATACTGTATTTCCTTAGTGTCTTTAAAGAAAAAATGTTATACTCTATATGTGCTAAATTTTAGTTTTCAGTATGCAAATATCTGTTATCTATAGCTGTTAGTCATTGAGATCTTATTATGTATAGTGTTCTATGCTTATAGAAACATAAAACCACAGAATATATACATATTTATAACTAGCTTCATTGTAATGTTTATTCCTGTGTAATTAGATATTAACAATGGAAAGTGGTTAATGCCTTTTCTTTTAAATCTTCTAAATAGCTCAGTCACTAAAGGAATTTGCAAGACTACTCATTGCAGTAGAAGAAGAAAGGAGGAGACTGGTAAGTCCGTTCCCCATTTCTTCAGAATAAAACTTTGTTTGGACATATTGAAAGAAAGACCAGACCTTCTGAATTAGACTTAGCCATACCAGACCCTATATTTGATAGATGTACTAAATGTTACAGAAAATATTTCTGTATGATTATGATTATCAATAATTTATGATTATCAATAATTTCTGTATGAGTGTGATTATCAATTATTGCTTATGATATATACCATTTCTGTTTATTTCAGGTGTAATTTCATCAGGTGTAAATTATATTCATTTTGTTTTCCAGTTAATTCTTTTGAGAATTAAAAATATTGAGTTGTCATTAGAAACCCATTCTGAGTAACCTTATAAATAACTTTAGTGTTATAATAAAGATACATTCTAAGTATTAAAGACAATTCTTAAAAGGAGCAAATAATTCTTTCTTAAAAAGGTGACATTTCAGTTGGGTCTTAAAGTCTGGCAGGATTCTGTTTGGCTGGGAAGAGTGGGGAAAACATTTCAGGTTGATGGATTAACTTAATGTGGCAGTATCAGAGGATAGTTACTATAATATATTTATCCATTTACCAAGATAATTTTTGTACCCATTTTGTTAAAATTTCTGTGAAGGCCTCTGTCTATGACCCTCACTTCCCATTTGTATATGGGAAAATTAGTACATTTCCCACAGGATTGTCATAAAGCATTTGCAGCAGCACATGGCACATAGTAAGTATTGATGGTAATAAAGATGTCGATTGTCTCTTACAGCGAGGGTTCCAGGCTTGTTTAAAATGCCATCTTTATCACTGGCTTCATCCTGTTGGGGAATTATGTATACACATATGTATATATGTGCATTAAATGTGCATTAAATGTGGTGTCATTCTGCTAATTGGATAAGGAGAACAGTTTCAGGAGGATGGCCTTGGCACAGGGAATGTTGCCTGAGCTAAGGAAGAATCACACAACCATTACTTGGCAGTCATATAATGAACTTGAGAAGAGGCCACAGGGTGGGAGAAAGTACTGTATATATTTGTAGAATAAGGCAGATAGTTCTCAGAGAGTATTAGAAGATTGACTAGTAGTTTTCGTCATAAGTAGGGTGTAAGAGGTGGGCTAAAAAGTTTTGGTGTGTGTTACAGAAGAGCAAAATTGCTAGTTTTTGAAAAGGATGGGAGAACCAATGTGGGATTTAGGAGAGATTAATTTGGTGGCCATGTGAAAGATAGATAAGGTAGACTGTCAGGGATGACTATATTTTTTTAGGAAACATCAGCCTACAATGGTCTGGTCCCAGTACAGTGTAATCTGTGCTAGATACATATGAGCCATTATGGGAGACTTACATCCTTTTTGGGGAGGTCAGAAAAAGCTTTTTTTCTGGAGGGAAGTTTGGAGTCTTAAGACTAAATTGTATACTTTTAAGTACTGTATGCATAATCTTCAGTCCAGTTTCATGAACTATGCAATAGAAGTCCAAGTTTAATGGGGAAATGTGAGTAGGAGGTATCTTATGGCCAAGAGAAGAGCTGATGATGAAAATGGGAAAAAGTGGTTAGGGAGATGTGAAAATAGAGTTTTAAATGGTGTGGAAGCCAGGGGAATATACGATTTAGGGTTGAGAGAGGTTGTTATTCAAATCCTGTGCAAGTACTTCAGGAGAATGATCAATCAGCTAGCATGAATTATTGAAAGAATATGGGAAAGTGTATTGTAGTTTGCAGGAGTGAAAAGAACCAAAGAAATGTAAGGGTAGTTTATAGAAAGAGTTTAGAAAGGCAAGAGCAAGTTATATAAGAGAAAAGGGATTATGGTTAGTGATAATGGGCCATTGAAGGTGGACATCATAAATATGTCAAGGAAAGACTAATTACCATGCTTTCATAGATTTTTCTAGCAATACCCAGAGCCATGGATGAGCAGTAAGAATAGTTGGGAGGCCAGATTCAAGGGGTGGGCACAGAAGATGTGCTGGATTGCAGGGACATGGGTTTGTATAATATGAAAATGGGTCTTGACTGAGTATAGCAATAACCGAGGCAAGAGGTTATTGATGGCCTTAGAAAGTAGAGGGCAAGCATGACTACTTCACTATGTTGACAGTTCACTAACAATAAAAGAAATTCTGAGACCAGGAAGTTGTGATCAGGAGTAGGAGTTGAAATATGCTGAACTTAGCAGTGGAGTTGGTCCAGATAGTGATGAAGTTAAGATGTGGCTAAACAGGAAGACAGACTTTAGGGATCTAGAAGGCTAAGCTTAGAGGTTTGGATGTTTTATGAGCAGAATCTTGAGGTCATGCAAGATGGTGACTGAAGAAAGGACAAAGACCAACAAGAAAAAGTGGCTGAGGAATGTGGTAGAATGTCTTATAGGCAGTGGAAATGGAGATTGAAACACCAGCTGTTAGTGTTTCAGAGGTCTTCATTTCTGCCTTTAGCCATGTTTCTCATGTTGGGGCAAGGAGGAAATTCTGTGTTCATGAGTGAAGTCGCATTGCAGGTTTTGATTGCTTTACCTATTGTTTTAGAGAAGTTCTGACATAAAGAATGCAAAATAATGAAGAAAAATCTACAGATAAAATCCTAATGGATTGCATGCCCAAAAAAGATTATATAATTGTAATTATTAAACACACAAATCTAAGTATTGGAATAAACACTTTCAGTTATATGATGCTACTACAACTGAAGGTATATCTGTTAGCAGATTATGTGCAAAGATGTGCTGAAGAATTTATTTTATTTTTTTATTAAAAATGTTTTTTTTAAATGCTTACTTATTTTTTGAGATAGAGAAAGCACAAGCAGGGGAGGGGCAGAGAGAAAGGGAGACAGAATCTGAAGCAGGCTCCAGGCTCTGAGCTGTCAGCACAGAGCCTGACGCGGGGCTTGAAGTCATGGACTGGGAGAGCATGACCTGAGTCAAAGTTGGACTCTTAACCAACTGAGCCACCCGGGTGAAGAATTTCTTTTAAAAATTATTACTTCACTTAGGAAGAAGAATATTTTAAGTGTACTAAAAGTATAAAGGAGTTCTGTAATTGATACACTCATTTAATTGTTTTTTTAATGATAAGTCGTGATTTATTTTATATTAATTGAATTTGGCCACAACTTAAATATGTTAGAACAGTGACTAAAAAATAAAATCACAAGATGATAGAAGACACCTAATGGTTTACATTCTCTTGTTTCCAGTGATTTACTGTACTTAGTAAGATGAATACAACATCTAGGTAATCTAAAGGATGTTTGCAGGGGCTCCTTGGTGGCTCAGTCAGTTAAGCATCCGATTTCAGTGCAGGTCATGATCTCACGGCCCATGAGTTTGAGCCCCTGCATTGGGCTCTGTGCTGACAGCTCAGAGTCTGGAGCCTGCTTTGGATTCTGTGTCTCCGTCTCTCTTTGCCCACCCCCCACTCATGCTCTGTCTCTCTCATTCTTTCAAAAATAAATGAACATTAACAACAACAACGACAACAACAACAACAACAACAACAACAAAAGCAAAGTCTGTTTGCAGAAAAAAAGCCCAAAGAAATACAGATTTTTTTTTTTAATAAATGGGACTCTTCTTAGTTCCTTACTAACTTGAAGTATTGAGTTAAAAATTTCTGCCAAAGCCAACTAAAAATGCAGTTTTAATGCAACAAAAAAAGTGACTCGGAGATGGAAATAGGAAATATCCATTTCAGAAACTTTTGAGAATATACTTTATCCTGTCTCATACTTCTTTTTTTTTATTTTTATAAAATTTTTTTTTTCAACGTTTATTTATTTTTGGGACAGAGAGAGACAGCATGAACGGGGGAGGGGCAGAGAGAGGGAGACACAGAATCGGAAACAGGCTCCAGGCTCCGAGCCATCAGCCCAGAGCCTGACGCGGGGCTTGAACTCATGGACCGCGAGATCGTGACCTGGCTGAAGTCGGACGCTCAACCGACTGCGCCACCCAGGCGCCCCTCCTGTCTCATACTTCTTACCGGAAAAATAGGCTTCCATGATGCAGTATTTTTCAGTATGTTAACTGACATCTGCCATCACGTGGCTACGCAAGAACAGCCTTTTAATGACACAAATAGAAGAAGTAATTTAATAGCCCTTTGTAATGGCCTAAGTAAAATGCCTATTTACTTATAGTGAGGTTACTGTTATTGATTAGTGACATGGGCTCTTTTTTTTTTAAGTGCATCTTTATTGGAAGTGTTAAAATTTTTCCCCATAGAATGTAGCACTTTAATGATTTAATGATGTCCTAGATCATATGTCCTATTTTAAGGACTCTGAGCCTGTCTCCAGTGCAAGGAGGGGCATTTAAGCCATATAAACTTCATGGTAAGGTCTCTTCAGTTTTCATACCACCACAGGAACTGCTGTATTTACTTCAGATGACAGCTAACCTGGCTGTGCAAACACTACTACTTTAGTCCAGGCTGTTATACCAAGAGAACACCCTAGCATGAAATGTTCATTGAAGCCTTATTGGTTTTGAAATTCTGAATTTGACTCTTTGCCTTAAGGCCTATGGACTTGACATTCCCTCTATCTGTATCCCTGGAATTATACTCTACTTATCATTCTTTCCTTCTCAGTATTCACTCTCATGTTCTCTGTTCTCTATCCCCACTGGCTTTCTTTCTACTCCTCTTAATGGTCTCTACAAGCTTCTTATGGACTTAGACCTTTGTATTGTCCTTTACTCTCTCTTGAACAGCCTTCCTCTGCCTTGTCCTGATCCATATCCTCTCAAGACTGGTTCCATCTTTTCACTCACACTTGAGCCCATATACTCCCCTGGAGGTCTGCACTTTCCATACAGCTTGAATTAGTCCCCTTTAATCCTTGTGTATTGTGACAGAAATACCTGCTGTGATGCAGTTTGCATTCTACTGGGCAGACATTAAATACATTATTTCTGATGGTGGTAAGTGCTAAAAAGAAAAAATAGTGCATTTGGTCAAAGATACTGCCCCTTACTGAGATGAAGAAGGTGAGGGGAGAAAATAGTTAAAAT